CTCCGCCTGAATTCAGTTCTGTCCGAGAGTCATAGAATGAAGAAACCGAGTGAAAACCCATTTCTCAAAATAAATTATAGTAGCTGTTTTTTATTTTGTTTATTATGCTCGCCAGTGACATCTAAAAATTACAATAAAATCAAACATTACCACCTTTAATCTGATCATCACAAGTTGTTGTAAAAATCACTGTTGACGCCAGATTAAAAGTAGAAACGTTTGATTAAATTTTATTGTAAATTTTGGGTAACACTGGCGAGCATAATAAACAAAATAAACAAACAACTACTATAATTGTATTTTGAGAAATGGGTTCTCCCTCGGCTTCTTCATTCTATGACTCGGACTGAATTGAGGCGGAACCCTGCCGCCTATCCTTTGTTATTTTTGCTCCGTCTCGCTGTACCGAGATGACGGAGAGATGGAGGCGTTTTCAACTCACGAGCAAAGTGTCGGACAGGCCTGTGGTCTAACATATTTCCATACTTCCATGGCAGATAACTTCTCTGTTAACGATTCATTGAAGAATAAATGTCAATGCGTGGTTTAAATTTAAAACGGAAAGTTAAAGGGTATACACCACGCAAGATATTAGTAACTGATATTTTATATTTCAAATAATAATTAAATAAACGTTACGGCCTTAAATTAGGCCATCTTCAGTAGCACAATAATTCTTAACATAATTTAACGCATTAGTACAACGTAAAAGCCGTAAATTTGAGTTTTAACGTTATACTGTGTTTAACTTATTAATTACGCAGGAAACGTTTGTTACAAATTGATTATCTATGAATAAAAGTGAGTTCCCCTAATAAATACTGATGATAGACAAAAGTGTCCAGTTATATGATCCAGAGGAATGAATGCCTATTATTATAATCAATCCGATAGTTCAAACGTTCGTCATTAATAGTAAATTGCACACAAAATTTTCAAATTGTAGCATGAATGTTTTTAAATAAATTACAATAATTCATGAGTCAAGTTATATAATAAATATAATACCTGTGTGTTGCCGGCGGCGGGAGCCTTCGATCAGGTTCCCCCGTTAACGATAATTATGACTATTTAATTTTGGTGCCGGGTTCGCTCGGACGCTTCGACGGAGCCCTCTCGACCCGTCGCTCTCCAGATTCGACTTTTGTCGCGCGAACTCGAACGGCTCGCGGCTTTGATTTTGGAAGCGATAACGCGATTCGCCGATAACATCGGCCCAGCAACGAGCGACGAATCAGGGGGTAACACACCAAGTACGACGAGAGCCTTTTTTCTGTGTCGAAAGACTCCCGTCGTCATCGGCACACAAACTCTCGCTCTCGACGTCGACATTGATCGAAAGTCAAATCAACAAAGATTCGAATCGAAGAAGTTTCTCGAGCGATCTCGACGGCCGCACGAATTAACGCTCTAATTCTGAACATACCGTCCGCCTCGTATACGCCGGATACGAAATACAGCAAAAGACGTGGCGAGATCGAAGGTACTCTCGCTTAGTCGCAGTGTGAGCTAAGGAACGCAAAGAGCGACAGTGATTGACGCTAGCCGAATAAAGAATTTTAAATGACCTTATAGGTAGGGACGAAAACACAATAAAGTAATTAACGCTAACAACAATAAAGTAATTAACGCTGTACAACACGTCTTAACTCGCTCTAGAAGTAGGGGCAAAATACAATCCATCCGTCGGTTTCGCTTGTTCCACGAATAAGATAGCCGACGCGACATAAGCCTAAAGTAATATAACGAACAGAATTAAACTGGAATTTCAATGAGTACAATCGTTAACGTATTACAAAGTATGTATATAATTAAACTTGATATATTGAACGTTTTATACGTGATACGTACAAACTAAGCGCGCGATGCTGACAAGGATCGGCGCAAAACAAAACAAAAGAAAACAAACAAGAAGGAGAAAGGGCGATCAGTCGCTTTCTGACGCCGACGCTTTACAATTTATAGACAACTTGTACAGTTGCGTTATAGGTCGCTTCAGTAGAGAACGCGCAGTGCGTATCGTAACCACCCGGACGAGTCCGTCGGACCCGGGATGAACCTGCTGGATTCTCGCGAGTTCCCATTTGCTCGGAGGGAGCAAAGGGTTCTTTACGATGACGAGATCACCGACTTCTAAATTAGGCGCGGCGTCTCGCCACTTGGTTCTCGTCTGAAGCGACAACAAATAATCCTGCGACCAGGCACGCCAGAATTGCTCCCTCATGGAGCTCACTAGCTGCCAGCGGGAAAGGCGGTCCGGGTTGATCTCGAGCACGGACTCCTACGGAACCGCGATTATCGGACGCCCTATCAAGAAGTGTCCGGGCGTGAGCGCGGACATGTCGCTGGGGTCGTCGCTGAGAGCAGCCATCGAGCGCGAGTTCAAGCAGGCTTCTATCGGGTGCTGC